GGAATCTATCTAACCCTGAATCCAAACTGCTAGATAAGGGCCTCAAATTTATACCAACTCCAAAACATATTCCTAAATCAGATTTCCTTCAATCTGCCTCTGACTTTAGCCGAAAAATCAAAATCACGCATTTTTTCCATAATAAATCCAAAAATCACCAGGCAAAAAAATTCGTAAGCAAAAGCAACTGGAAACCACCAGAATCAGCCATTCCTCCAAGCATTCAAAATTCGGTCAAAAATATATTGAAAGATATTTCCAAAATCCAAATTCAAAAAGAACCAAACAATTTGACCAAGGCAGAAATGGAAGCAATTAAATCACTCAAAAAAGACAATTCTATTGTAATCAAAAAAGCCGACAAAGGCTCTTCAACGGTTATCATGGACAGATCCGATTATATTTGGGAAGTTGAGAGGCAACTAAATAACCTCAAACATTATAAGAAATTAGAGGCTCCCATCTACCCCAAAACAAGCATAGAGTTACTTAAAACCCTCAAGATATTAGAACATAACAAATTCCTAAACAAAAAACAAGTAGAATACCTTAGGCCAAAAGATGATCCTAAACCCAGACATGTCTATATCCTACCAAAAATCCATAAACCACCCGAAACGTGGTCCAAACCATTCTCAATCCCCCCAGGTAGGCCTATCATATCTGATGTAGAGAGTGAATCATATAGAATTTCAGAATACATTGACCATTTCTTAGCTCCGCTCTCAATGAAACACCCAGCGTATATCAGAGATACTTTTGATTTCATCAACAAAATAAGCAATTTGGTTATCCCTCAAAATAGTCTCCTTATTAGTTTAGATGTAGAAAGCATGTACACAAACATCGATAACCGAGATGGTCTTAAAGCTGTAGCGCAAACATTCTTAGATAATCCATGCCCGGACAGACCAGATTTAGAAATTCTAGAACTACTCAAATCAGGACTAACTAAAAATGATTTTGAATTCAACGGACAGTGGTATCTTCAAGTCTCAGGAACAGCAATGGGTAAAAAATTCGCCCCAAGTTATGCCAACATTTTTATGGCCCAATTCGAAAAAGAAGCCTTAAATAAATGCGACAACAAACCGCTAATCTATGTCAGATTTCTGGACGATATCTTTATCATTTGGACTCACACCAGAGAAAAATTTGATGATTTTTTCAACATTTTAAATAACCACCATCCGTGTATTAAACTCAAAGCCACGATTAGTGAAGAATCAATTGATTTCCTCGACACCACAATTTTCAAAGGTCCGGAGTTTAACACTACAGGCAAACTCGACATCAAAGTGTATTTCAAACCTACGGACACTCACCAACTGCTACACAAAAAATCTTTTCATCCCAAACATTCATTCAAGGGAATCATAAAATCGCAAATACTTCGTTTTCATCGCATTTGTACGCAAGAATCGGATTTCAATACAGCAGTCCACATCTTGTTCAAAGCTCTTAGGAATAGAAATTATTCTTACAGATTTCTTCGTAAAATCAAAGGAGAGACCTTGGCAGAAATCAACCCGCCTATAAAACACACGACCAAACCTTGTCTCAGTAAGCGCTGTGCGACTTGTCCATTTACCAAAACAACCACTTCTTTTGTCAGCTCTAATAACTCTAGTGCTCATTATATTTCGGAAAACCTGAATTGCGGATCCAGAAATGTCATTTATCTGATAACTTGTACCAATTGTAGGATGCAATATGTAGGACAAACCACACTAACTCTTAGAGAGAGATTCACATGCCATCGCTTTGACATAATACACGCCAAAGACAAACCAGTTTCAAACCATTTTAACCAAATTAACCACACTCTAAAAGATGTTTCCATAATTCCAATTGAGAGAGTTCCCAATTCGGACCAACTAGACGATAGGGAACAATTTTGGATGAATAAACTTCAAACCCTAAAACCTAACGGTATTAATGAAAAAGCCATTTCGAACCAAATTCTCCCCTTTGTCATTACCTACAATAGGACAGCCCAAACAGCGAGCCACAAGGTAAGAAAACATTACGTAGACTTAAGAACAAAGTTACCAGAAGTATTCAAATCTAAACTAGTTACAGCCTACCGTAAAAACAAAGTTTGCAAGACCTGTTAGTTCGTAGCCGACTTAAAGCAGCAACATAAACACTTAGGCCAGTGCACAGGGATTAAACCCTAATCCCTAACCTTAATCCTTAAACCTAACCCTAACCCTTATAAAAACCTTTTATAGTCGCCATCATGATCTCAGTGAGAAAACTTCTATTTCCTTTGGTGATATGAAGGTCAGGATGTTGATTATTATTCTCTTCATTGCCTCCAAAGATGAAGATTACAAAGTAAATATATACACGAATACATAATATGCATTACATAAATATGCACTTTATATATAGGGATGTGTATATAAGGTGTAAAATAATAAATATTTTAGAGTAAACCTAATAAGTTTCAATATACAGATTGCAAATTGATTTGCACAAGCCAAGTACATTATAATAAATTGTATTGATAAGTGGTACGTAATACTTATACATGTCTATGTATATAAATCAATGTATCGTTGTATTTGTTAATACATGCAATAAAGACATTTATTGTAACATACTAACTACAAACGCGGAAGATACATTTGTGGGTCTGGATCACATAAGGGTGGGGGATATCACTACCTGCGAGATGTTACGGGCCCACATATGTATACTCCCATGCATCTTAATCAGTAGTATAGTTCATATAGTATCTCATGTGATATCTTTTGCTAAGTGCACATAACTTAAAGAAAATCCAACATTAGATATGTATGTATTTAACTTTTAATCATAACTATTATATACATTAAGTATAATAGAGTTTACACTCTTGAAATAGTTAAAACTGTCCAATGACTTAAAATTCTTCATTTCACTTCCATCAACCGCATGACTGTGTACCAGATAATTGCAAAAAACCACTTCGGGCCACTCTCGCATGTCATCTTTCCACTCGTTTGATTTTACATACTCAGGGCGAGAAATATGCGGTTTGACAGGCTTAGACAGTGACATGGTGAACAAATCTTCAATAATATTATCAAATTGGAACTAGTTCCATACACTTTTCAAAACATATCGTCGATATAAACAAACGATTTACTGACTGTCCATCACTGACCTTCACCGCCTCCGTGACGGATGAGAAGTCACGGAGTCAATGGCGGCCGACATCAGCGCCACCTATTAGTGCAATTCGAACTATTGAGGAGATAACTGTTAAAAGTCGTCTATAAGGACGTGACAATAATTGGTTTTGACCTAGATATGCATTGCGGGTGTCGTTGCTGAAGCAAAGACATTTGCCTGGCCTTATTCTCCTTGTACATTTTCAAGATGTTTTGTTCATATATCGCCCCAGATTTATTGATTAAGAGATTTGATTACAGATGATGAGATTTCGGAAGTTTTAGTATAACAAGTGTATTACACTTATTGCATGCCAGATGTCTACATTAAAATAGATATGTGTATAACAGAATATAAAAACTGACACTTCATAAAGTATCTTCTATCAGGGAAGTGTAGTACACATCCCTGCTTCTATAGACAGTGTATTTTCTTTACAATAAATTAACTTAAAACTTTAATCTTCTAGACACAAACAAATATGCATGGCTATAATGACGCATAGATTGATTTCAATTTGATGACAGGAAAAACAAATTAATATTTTGCAGACTTACAAGTGTAACGGATGCGTGCCTACAGTTCGTTACCAAGTTCTATCTTGGACCCAGTTATTGTTGTAACAAATAAGTGCCGACAATATATACAAAATAATGGCCGTCTATCTGACTCAAATAACTATTACCTAATGATTCAACAAACTACTGCCTCAAATCACAACTGCCTAATCTACACCCGGTAGATATTTTACATTAATATTAATATACCTCTGACACTGATATAGTCAAAAAGCCAACTAAAACAACTGTATCACAAGATGTTCGTCACCCTGTATCAACAGTAAATAGCCCCTTACTGCGACACCCGTGACTTTGTACACCCTTTACCGCAACACACCTTGACCACGTCACCCTTTCCCGCGACTGCCTTTCGACCAAGTCACCCTAGCCACTACGACACCTATGCCTTGGTAAACCCTGTGTCTTGGTACCTGTCACTCTGTATCAACAGTACGTCGCCCTGTACTGTGATACCCTGTGACTATGCACACTATCAAGTAACACAATTTATTTTGACCATGTACTATAAAGGAATACAGTGGAACGCTAGCTTATGTAGCTAGGCCCAAACTTATACAGCTTGGTCACTGATTACCTTTTTAGAGATGTTCCTTCTTCTTCGACCGCCAGAGCAAGAGAGAGCTTTTCATCTGGTTGGTTGATGGTTGGTTGATGGGTTTATAGACTCCTTTTCACGGACGAAGTCCGTGTTCTGTCGTCTTGAGGGGGTAAGTCTCCAGCTCGGATAGGCTGTCACAGTTACATACAGCACGTATACGGGAGAGTGGAAAACGTCCTTTAAACAGCTTCACTGTCCTCCTAAGCTTTTCATCTGATGGAACCTCTATTTATATACCTAGCCATCCAGTGAACTGCCTTCTTTCATTAGCCAATCAAAACTACCCTCACTTCCTAATTACAAAGAAATAACTAAAGCAAGTCTATACTAACGATCATTTATTGAACAATGTAATTAACAAAGAATCAACCCCTTCACAAGTATTTCCGAAATATTAATTAAATTATGCCTTAAAGGCTCATACGATCACAGAAATAGGCCAAGTTTTAAAGAAAAATGTTTTTTATCGTAATGATATTACACATGCTATGTAAGAATTAAAAGATAGGAGAACAAGGGGAGTAAATTTAAAAGAAAATAAGTCCCTAAAACTAATTACGAAGGTCGGAATTCCTTGTTATCTATGCCAATACTTTATAAGGTTTTGAGACTAAATTCTGACCTTGTCCGTCGAAGATAAGAACTGTATAAAAGCTGGATCTATCCAGGACGTGGCCCCTGTACGAGTGCAGTCGAGAGTGTCTGGTCGTAGGCCATGGAAGGAACAAAGATGTGGTTAGTTATATTAGGATGTATTGCCGTTATAACTAGTCCTACTAGTGCTGAAGTGAACAAAACTATAACGGAACTATTCAAAAGGATAAAATCGATGCAGGTACAAAGAACTGTTCCTTCAATACCGCCATTGGTATGGGGGAAATTTCGTGGAATTTATGAAAGTGATGTCCGTCAGTATTTTCATGGAAACCCTGATATGAGCGCTTTACGTTACGAATTTGAAGTGTTCGACAATAACATGTTTGCCACTGCCTGGATTACATCATGCCTTCTTGAAGCCCACCGGTATGGAAAGGCACCAAAGCCTTCCGAAGAGCAGATTAATATGTCTGTAGAGATTCTAATGAACAATCACAACGACAAAAACTCCAACTATACTAACTCCATCATGGCGTTTTGGCCTCAGGAGTACGATGATTCATACAAAGTAAGTCACGGTTAGCAACCTTTAAGCAAGATATAGGTTCGACAAGCTTTAGTGTTGACACCTAACATTTTATATTGATGTTCAGTTCATTATGTATTGCATTGGTGTCGGATATATTATATATATTAATTGATGAATGTCTATATCTCCACTGTAAGTCGCTATTTACCACTACCAGAAGGATTGCATCCATAGGGCTATGAATGCAAATGGATCTGTGGATTTAGAAGCTTCTTCAGTCTTGCATTGAGTGAGGCCGTATAAAAAAGAACAAACCTCGGATGACGTTAGACTTCTATAAGACTTTCATTAACATTGACGACACAGTTACGTCAATATCGAAAACACTTTTATTCACAAATAACCATAAGTTTACAAAAGTATTGAACTTTCTTTCCATAATATGTATGTCCTGATATAATACATGCTAACGGATACGAATTCATACAGAATACTGAATATGTTATTTTAATATTGAATACCTGATTATTATAAAATAATGTTTGAGATCTATGATATAACATTAAGGTTTGATACGTTATAAAATGATTTGTATTATCTGAAGTATCACATTTCTGTTTTAATCCTTTTATCTTATAAAAAAATAGTTATTATACATTTGATTTGCACCAAGGTAGCGCAATGCGATAAATGTAAACAAATATCAATGTTTTCGGAAAGTATATTCAATGTCTTAGTGAAGTCATGGGATATGTTATTTCCTTCATAAATTTTTAATTTCTGTTTAGATGATAAGTAATTTTACTCGAAAAAATCTGCTATTTCAAAAATGTATTTATCGAAAGCACACTCTTCTAAGTTTGCAATAGGTAGTAAACCACTATGTTCTGTGTGTGTTCATATCATTGTCAGCAGGTGTTCTACTTCTGATATTTATATCCTTTGTTACAGCTGTCCTTCGGTAGTGCGGTGTGAGCTAGGTCACTTACCTTTAGGTTTACTACCTTATCATACCATAATGCTGTTCATATACTTCTGTTGGTAAAATTATAACATCATTTAATTGAAAATAAATATTCTCCTTACACTGAAACATCCTAAAGGTGTTTCTTAAAAAGGGCACTGCACAATTTACAAAGCTCTAAACAATATTTCAATATTTGAGTCGAAAATACTATTTCTTACCTATACATTTTATATCAATTAGTACCCTTCACATTGTCTGCTTGTCACCTTTGGGAGTACTTTCTTTCCGTGTGAGTGCATGTTGTGGTAAGTTTGGTCCTTGTTTGTTGAAGCTGTGGTGTTGATGTTGTGGTAAGTCTGGTCCTTGTTTGTTGAGGCTGTGCTGTTGATGTTGTGGTAAGTTTGGTCCTTGTATGTTGAAGGTTTGGTGTTGATATTGTGGTAAGTTTGGTCCTTGTATGTTGAAGCTGTGGTGTTGAAGTTTTAGTAAGTTTGGTCATTGTTTGTTGAAGCTGATTTTTTCTTTTTGCTGTTGTGCTCTCTTTGTCGTAGGTCTCGTCCTTGTGTGTTGACGCTGTGGTGTCATTCGCTCCGTTATCAAGACAGAAACATTAAATAATTTTGTTTATGTTTAGTGACTATGTAACTAGAAATCTATTAAAAATGCATTTCCTTATTATATTTCTTATGCAACACTATAAGAAATAGCACAGCACTATTCAGGAATGATACAATTGGGCTGTGATGATTTACAATGCATTGATGTCTGTCTTATTTAGGCCTGGGTCAGCTCTCCCATCAACTTACTGGCCATGTTTAATGCCACTGATCTCGTCGACTGGAATGCTGTGTATGAAGAGATGGAGAAGCTGGGACTGAAGGACGTCGTCGATATCATGAAAAGACTTCTGGCTTCCAAGTAAAGACACGCATGTAACGTTGATCTATGCCGTTCTTGTCTTGTAGTTAGCTGGAATTATGTTTCATTAAGGTTTATGTTTTACATTAAATACCTATACCTAAGAAAATGGCAGTAACCGCGCTATGGGTGTCATCGTTGGAGTATGACCCAGTGGCTGTGGTGATTCAGGATTATGTTAAATAAACAGAAATGTCCACAAATGCATACACGAAAGCCTCAGATTCAAGTGATGTTTTAATAATTAAGATGATATCCGTGAAACTAAATTCTCAAATTAATAATACTAGCCGCACTTTTTCGTTATAATGTCATAATGTAAACATCAAAGTAGAGTTGAGTTTGTGCGTGTAATCTTTTTTCAGATCAGGCTACGAACGTGTGTTCCGGATACCTCCAGACTTTGACGACACATCGGTGAACCTAGGTCTGGGGTCATTGTTAAAGGAAGCCATTGTAGATTTCCCACAATCCAATGCGCTGTGGCAGTCCCGGAACTCCAATCTGTCCTCCGTATTCAGCGCGATCAAACACTACGCCTACCGTCCTCTGTCTGGGAACAAGCGTGTGGATACCATCGACACAAGGACTTACGTGTACATGCGAAAATTCCTGGAACTTTCGAAGTCAAAGAATGAAGACGTAGCATTAGTAACAACATGGGTTCGTATATGTTATATTTGTATTATTGCCATAATAAAAACCAAAGAACCGCCTGTATCACTTGACCCCTATGTCCATGATATGGACATAAACAGATTGAAAAAAAAATAATGAAGCTCCTTTTATACCATTAGTACCCAATACTAACGCGGCTTCTATATTAAAATATTTCTACAAACCAATTAATGGTACACAAACAAAACTAGCATTTTTGTCAACATTGTTTATTACTGGATCTGTTTACACGTCCGGATCAAAATTGGTATTATCTGCATTGCATTCGGAGCGTGTTGTATATTTACTACAGGTACAGGACCTTGAGGACATTAAGACCCAGTACTACCGTGGTGTAGTAACCCCAGGTAACGTTAACAACGTCGACATCACCGTGGCGGCCAACGCCTTATATGGAATCACAAACAGTATTCTGACGGGACTCGTCACGGCGGAGGTCCTGGAGGATCCAGATATGCAGGTAAATAGAAGGGTGTTTCACTATTAGCAATAAAGGTACATAAATACCAGATATATGTTAATCTCACTCTTCTATTGTTCCTAAAGGCACATAATACATTAACAGACATATCAATTATATGTCTAAGTATGTGGTCATTTATTTAAAGACTGCCTGTTTATAATTATAATTAATGATTCGAAATTCTGATACACCGCTTTATCACAACCTAGTTCGTAGGTCGTCTCGAAGCGGTTCACAAATTATTATCCGTGGTTATAAAGCCTTTACAACCAGCCAATATCTTTCTCAACTCCCTGGGGAGCATACAGCCAGTGCTGCCATTTCGGCACTCACAGCAAGCGTTCAACAATTCCAGCAATGCCCAACCATGTACTCATTTACAGCTGAGTAGACTGGAACAAGCGGAGTAAAGTATCTTGCTCAAAGATACAACACAGTGCCGTGACATGACTCGAATCCGCATCCCTTCACAAACGAGCCCGGCGTCCTACCACTAAACTACCACCTAACTCTGTTTATATGAGCAAGTGCTGACAGATATAAAAAGGCACAGTCTGTCATATTGTTACAACGGTGAGGAAACGGATATTGTTTCTAGCATTGTCAAGTAATGCGTCCTGATAAGCTATTGCACGCAGGACACATTATTTTCATTTAAATATTTATGTATGCGTTTATTTATTTACTTTGACATTTTTTTGAAATCCAGCAAATCTACCTGAACACGTCTACAATGATAGCCTTCCAGATCAACACAAACTTCTCCAGCCGGCCGGACTTGGCTCTGACCTACTACCCGTCAGCTATTGAGTTCTACTGGTTCGTGGCTAGGACTTACAACCAACTACTGAGACGTTATACTTATAACAGTCTGCCTCATCACGTAAGTATCCTTAACGGTCTGCCTCACCACGTAAGTATCCTTAACGGCCTGTCTCACCACGTTAGTATCCTAAAAGGTCTGCTTCACCACGTAAGTATCCTTAACGGTCTGTCTCACCACGTAAGTATCCTTAACGCTCTGCCTCATCACGTAAGTATCCTTAATGGTCTGTCTCACCACGTAAGTAGCCTTAACGGTCTGTCTAACCACGTAAGTATCCTTAACGGTCTGCCTCACCACGTAAGTATCCTTAACGTCCTTCCTCACCACGTAAGTAGCCTTAACGGTCTGTCTAACCACGTAATTATCCTTACCGGTCTGTCTAACCACGTAAGTATCCTTAACGGTCTGCCTCATCACGTAAGTATCCTTAATGGTCTGTCTCACCACGTAAGTAGCCTTAACAGTCTGTCTAACCACTTAAGTATCCTTAACGGTCTGTCTCACCACGTAATTATCCTTAACGGTCTGTCTCACCATTTAAGTATCCTTAACGGTCTGTCTCACCACGTAATTATCCTTAACGGTCTGTCTCACCACGTAATTATCCTTAACGGTCTGTCTCACCACTTAAGTATCCTTAACGGCCTGTCTCACCACGTAAGTATCCTTAACGGTCTTTCTCACCACGTTGGTATCCTTAACGGTTTGCCTTACCACGTAAGTATCCTTAACAGTCTGCCTCACCACGTAAGTACCATTACCGGTCTGTCTCACCACGTAAGTATCCTTAACGTTCTGCCTCACCGCGTAAGTATCCTTAACGGTCTGCCTCACCACGTAAGTATCATAAACGGTCTGTCTCACCATGTAATTATCCTTAACGGTCTGTCTCACCACTTAAGTATCCTTAACGGCCTGTTTCACCACGTAAGTATCCTTAACGGTCTGCCTCACCACGTAAGTAGCCTTAACGGTCTGTCTAACCACTTAAGTATCCTTAACGGTCTGTCTCACCACGTAATTATCCTTAACGGTCTGTCTAACCACTTAAGTATCCTTAACGGTCTGTCTCACCACGTAAATATCCTTAACGGCCTGTCTCACCACTTAAGTATCCTTAACGGCCTGTCTCACTACGTAAGTATCCTTAACGGTCTTCCTCACCACGTAAGTATCCTTAACGGTCTGTCTAACCACTTAAGTATCCTTAACGGCCTGTCTCACCACGTAAGTATCCTTAACGGTCTGCCTCACCACGTAAGTATCATAAACGGTCTGTCTCACCATGTAATTATCCTTAACGGTCTGTCTCACCACTTAAGTATCCTTAACGGCCTGTCTCACTACGTAAGTATCCTTAACGGTCTTTCTCACCACGTTGGTATCCTTAACGGTCTGCCTCACCACGTAAGTATCCTTAACAGTCTGCCTCACCACATCTAGTTACTTCCCTACCAAAACAAGTATTCCCTACATCTAGTTACTTCCCTACCAAAATAAGTATTCCCTTATATCTAGTTACCTCCCTACCAAACAAGTATCCCCTACATCTAGTTACCTCCCTACCAAAACAAGTATTCCCTTATATCTAGTTACCTCCTACCAAAACAAGTATTTCCTTATATCTAGTTACCTCCCTACCAAAACAAGTATCCTCCTACCTTTTTACCGGTAATAACAACATCCATGTCTTTATTCTGATAACCTTACTTTATGCATATTAGCTACAAAATACATCCCTGCCTACAAATCTTCACCACGTAATATCTCGAAATGTGCAATCACAAAGCCATACGCGATATTGCATCGTCTCCTGTAATATCAAGATGTACATGGGGATTAAACACTCGTTTAATCTTACGTTATTTCTATTTTACAGACAATGAAGACATCCATGGATATCTTAGGCAACGTCCTGAAGAACAATGCTACAACTATAATGCTGATGGAGGCTATGCCAATGGGGACAGATATGGTTTATTATGACGATTTTCTTGGTGATGGAGATTTCGACGCTGAAGGGAAACCTGTGGTTTGTGATTCCTTCTTTGTGGCTAATTGAAAGGAATGATTAAGATAAAACTTTCACTGGGATTCTATTTTATAGGGAGGATTTAATATAAATTTTTAATATAATGATTTAGTTTTATTTGTTACTATTCCATCAAATCACACAAATCACACAAATCGATACATTTTCACCTTATAAACTTTTGGGAGGTTAAGAAACCCCAACGTTTTGCCTTTAGAACAGATTGATGACAAGTCATATGTTATTTAATACTTGAACGAAATATTGTTGGAGATGGTGTTCTAAAATCCAAAACAGCCTTATTATTTTAAATATGAACATAACGCGTTTTGTGCTGCGACAATCTGAAGCTTCAATATACCTGCAGACACAATTTTTTTCTTTACAGTTTCATTATCCATTTGAATATCTCATATACCGAGTTTACGTTTGAATAACAGCTTACATAGCATAATTTGTTATACTATTTGATTTGACATAAAGTGTAGTTACATTGTAACTACTGCCTCTATGGAGTACAACTACAACAATATTGGGTGTAGCGACATTGTAACTACTGCCTCTATGGAGTACAACTACAACATATTAGGTGTAGCTACATTGTAACTTCTGGCTCTATGGAGTACAACTACAACAATATTAGGTGTAGCTACATTGTAACTACTGCCTCTATGGAGTACAACTACAACAATATTAGGTGTAGCTACATTGTAACTACTGCCTCTATGGAGTACAACTACAACAATATTAGGTGTAGCTACATTGTAACTACTGCCTCTATGGAGTACAACTACAACAATATTAGGTGTAGCTACATTGTAACTACTGCCTCTATGGAGTACAACTACAACAATATTAGGTGTAGCTACATTGTAACTACTGCCTCTATGGAGTACAACTACAACAATATTAGGTGTAGCTACATTGTAACTACTGCCTCTATGGAGTACAACTACAACAATATTAGGTGTAGCTACATTGTAACTACTGCCTCTATGGAGTACAACTACAACAATATTAGGTGTAGCTACATTGTAACTACTGCCTCTATGGAGTACAACTACAACAATATTAGGTGTAGCTACATTGTAACTACTGCCTCTATGGAGTACAACTACAACAATATTAGGTGTAGCTACATTGTAACTACTGCCTCTATGGAGTACAACTACAACAATATTAGGTGTAGCTACATTGTAACTACTGCCTCTATGGAGTACAACTACAACAATATTAGGTGTAGCTACATTGTAACTACTGCCTCTATGGAGTACAACTACAACAATATTAGGTGTAGCTACATTGTAACTACTGGCTATATGGAGTACAACTACAACAATATTAGGTGTAGCTACATTGTAACTACTGCCTCTATGGAGTACAACTACAACAATATTAGGTGTAGCTACATTGTAACTACTTGCCTCTATGGAGTACAACTACTGATCACACCTCTCTATGTCTGTATTTCAAATTAAACAGCAGTGTTCCACCTAAATATACTCTCTGTTTTACAGAAATACGGCGAGGATCGTTTGTTTACTACAGCCATGGCCGCTAATGCTCTTATTACTATTTGGACGTCGTTTGAAGAGAAATCTGGGACGTTAGTCTGGAATCAGAGTAAGAGAGACGTGTCTTGTGTCCGTCCTTTATCAACCTATGTTTAATGAGTATGAACATTTAAACCGTCCAGTTCGAAATAGCGATTAAACGTTTGGTATTACAGTGTTTTGTCGTAAATGTACAATATCATGTAACCTATTATCTATTATTCTGCAGTTTGTGTTGTACGTGTTCTGGACATATCAACGGAATATACATCATGCACATAACTATAGCGTTTCCTTTCAGCTACACCAAAACAGGTCAAGGACACTGTCACACGCGCGGTGAAGTTCCTGGATACCTACATATTGTCCGGGGAGTACAAACCGTGGAACGCGTTCTTTTCCGGTTCCTTTAAAGGTTTTGGGGTAAATGATTAAGATACTGTACATTTAGCAGATATTATATTTTAGTTTTTAGTGGAGGTGGGAGATTTGAGGGAGGGGTCCAACAAACATATGTTTAGAGGAGCAGTTCTTGAGATCAGTCTAGGTGATTGGTCCATCTTATAAAGATATTTCAAAGACAACAATGCGTGTAGACCTTACTGTGGTAGATGCCGATACTCAACTAGGGGAGAGGTTAGGGGGAGTGGGTTGGATGGGGATTGAGGGTTGGGGATTCCAACAAATATAGGCCTTACAGTGGCGGGTTCAGAGATCAACCTAGGGTTAATGGTGGTGGTGGTGGTGGTGGTGGTGGTGGTGGTGGTGGTGGGGATTGGGAATGAGTATGGGGGATTCCATGAAATATAGGCCTTACAGTGGCAGGTTCAGAGATCAACCTATGGTTAATGGTGGTGGTGGTGGTGGTGGTGGTGGGGATTGGGAATGAGTATGGGGGATTCCATGAAATATAGGCCTTACAGTGACGGCTTCAGAGATCAATCTTGCGGGAGGAAAGGGAATGGGTGCGTGGGGTTGGAGAATAGGGGTGAGGAATAAATATAGGCCTTACAGTGACGGCTTCAGAGATCAATCTAGGGTTAATGGTGGTGGTGGTG